GACAAAAGCGCGGACTCACCGACTCCGAGGCCGCGGCGGAGAGGAAGCGCGCCTGAGCGCAGGCCCCGCGGAGCCAGAGAGGCCGAGCCAGCAACATCGCGGCCGAGCCTCCCCGCCTAAGCCCGCTTCAGCGACCCCCGTCACCTTCGCCCGGGCTACGCAGGGATTCTGCGTCAGAACTCTGGGCGACGTTTAGTGACGTCACCCGGCACAGCCAGAGCGGAGAAAAATGCGTCACTTCCTGCCTTCGACGCAGGGCATTGTGGGAGCTGTAGTCCAGTGAGGAAAAGTCCCCCGTGCCTGAGGGATGCTGCCTGGCAAGGCTCCACGGGGAGGCTGTTACAGGCATAGGCCAACTTGGGCCCTCCCTCCAGTTGTTTTGGACTTCAACTCCCACCATTCCTAGCAGCCCCAGGCCCCTTCCTTTTCCCCCCTCAGCCGCATGAGTTTCCTGAAAGGCACTGCAGACTATCTCAACCAGAGAAGTCAGCCATAACAGAGCACCTGCAATGTTATTTAAGGACACAGAAATGTTGGACCTCTCACAGCTACCATGTCAGATTACACAGAGAAGCCATTGAAATCCACAAACATGAATGTTGCAATTGGCCACATTGATTAGCATTTAATGACCTTGTAGCTTCAAAGCCTGGCTGATTGCTGCCTGGGGGAAACAAGGAACTTTAAAGGCACTGCAGACTACTTCAACCAGAGAAGGCAGCCATAGCAGAGCACCTGATGAACCAACCTGGACACAGCATATTATTTGAGGACACAGAAATGCTGGACCACACTAACAACTACCATGTCAAGCTACACAGAGAAGCCATTGAAATTCACAAGCATGAATGTTGCAATTGGCCACATTGATTAGCATTTAACGACTTTGTAGCTTCAAAGCCTGGCTGATTGCTGCCTGGGGAAATCAAAGAACTTGAAAGGCACTGCAGACTACTTCAACCAGAGAAGTCAGCCATAGCAGAGCACCTGATGAACCAACCTGGACACAGCATATTATTTGAGGACACAGAAATGCTGGACCACTCTCACAGCTACCATGTCAGATTACACAGAGAAGCCATTGAAATCCACGAGCATGTGAGCAACTTCAACAGAAAGGAGGTAACCATGAAAATTAACAAAATCTGGCTACTAGTATTTTTAAAAAACTCTAAAATCAGGACAGGAAATAAAGAGCAAGACTCAAAAAAGCAGGGGAATTCCAGACAAGAATTAATCAGGTCCAGCTAACACCTCCCAACAAAGGATTCCCCCAGGCAGGAAGCAGCCTGGCTTTGAAGCTGCAAGGCCATTAAATGCTAATCAAGGTGGGCAATTGCAACATCCACATTTGCCTCAAACAGACAGTTCTTTCTCCCATCCTGGACATTCCACAGATATATAAACCCCACTTGCCTAGAATACAATATACCTCACAACCTCTGAGGATGCCTGCCATAGATATGGGCGAAATGTCAGGCAGGAGAGAATGCTTCTGGAGCATGGCCATACAGCCCAGAAAACTCACAGCAACCCAGTGAAAGCCTTCCACAACACATTATGTAAGTCTGTTTTAACCCTTTGCTGTTCCATTTCCCCCCCGATGTTTCTTTCTCCCACTTCCCTCATTTATTTAATCAGTTGCTGCAAATTGTTCAAAGAGTAAAAGTGGTTTCAGCTCAAGTAATTGAGGGCCCTTCCACACAGCCCTATATCCCAGAATATCAAGGCAGAAAATCCCACAGTATCTGCTGCATATTCTACTTTTAGTGTAAGGAAGTCCTTCCAAATGTGGAATAAGTTTTCCTACAATTTGAGTATATTGCTCCATTGTGTGTTAGTCTCCAGAGCACCAGACAACAAGGCCACCCACTCTTCAATGTGACCCTCCTTTCAGATACTTAAACATGGCTCTCATGTCCCCTTCTCTCAGCCTTCTCTTCTCCAAGCTAAACACACCCAGCTTCTTAAATTACTCCTCACAGGGCGTGGATTCCAGAGCTGTTTAAAGTGTTACGCCAATTTTAGTATTTAAGATATCGAATCATACAGTAATAGTTCAAAGAGACCATATGGCCCATCTAGTCCATCCCCTGCCATGCAGGAAAAACAAAATCAAAGTATCCCAACAGATGGCCATCCAGCCTCTGTTTAAAAGCCACCAAGGAAGGAGCTTCCACCACACTCCAAGGCAGAGAGTTCCACTGCTGAACAGCTCTCATGTCAATGAGATTTGTTAGTAGTGTATGTTTACCATTTAGGACCTCTCGCCAGTTTATCTCGATAATAGTTGCTAAATTTGGCTTTGCAAAATTGTCATAGCAGTTTTTCCTTGCAAAGGGCTCCTCATGGTGGAATTTCTAGAAATTGCAAGGAGCAATTTTTAGGCCATGACTATTCAGTATTCGGAAAAGAACACAATTAAAGATGAGATCGTAAACACAGCAAATGTATAATGATAAATCTTTGCTAAAAAAAAAACAAAAAAAATGGGATTGGCCAAACTCTCTGCCTCATTTAGAGCCTAAATGCTAGACACAGGCCAATAGAAACGATAGGTTTTGCTATTATATAACATAAGAAGAAATCCTAACTAACCCGAGGAAATAATCCAGTAAAGAAATACCTAAACTGTCTTGCTTGTGGATTTACAGATCACCAATATATAGTCATCAAAGGGGATACTTCTATGTTTCTCTCATTGTTAATCTTTTCAAGATTATTCCTTTAAAATGTTTTTGTTATGGCTTGTCAGAATATTCTGCAACAATAAATCAGTTTATTGTAGCATATGAGGAAATGCTTATCTCTGTACCTTGATCCAAATTTTATGCTGTGTCCCCACCCTCTAAGTGTTCTGAGATTATTAATTCTCATTTTCATAACTTTTAAAGTATCCACATCAGTCTCTTTTAGCATAAAGAAGAGGAAAGGAGGGCAAAAAAAGGAAGAGAGGAACAAGAGGGAAAGGAGGGGAGAAGTTGTTTCCATATTCCTTTTTTAATCCCCTTCCATTCTTATTGTAAATGATTTCATAAATTTATCTTCCTTTCCATTATTTGTTTTCTAAGCTAAACATCCAAGAGTGCTTTTTTTCTTTTCAAGAAAAAAATATGCCATCTGCATCATTTTATTTACCTCTTTCAAAATCTTGTTTTGCACTGATTTTACTTTATGTCAAAGGTACACAATCAGGGTGCAATGGTGGACATTTCAGATGCTTGGCTATTCTTCAAGACACTGGGTGGCATCTCTTTAGTGACAAAAGGTGTAGGACAACAGTGAGAGGACTTGGGGTTTCCGGAGCCCTCTTTCTCTCTGTCCCAGAACATCCTGCTTTTGCCAGTTTGCTTCATTTTCAAACAGCTGTTGAGCTGTGCTGCCAGGAGAAGGATTACATTGCTGATCTCTTTGATCCTGTTGATTCTTGGCCTGAGAAGGATGATCCCATTATACTGGGATGTGCTGTTGGGGCAACACCCCTCCAGTACAACTGTATGGAAGTGTTCCAAAATGCCAAGGAAAGATTCGTTTAAGATCATTCCAACACTGCCATACCAAAATGGCCCAATGAGACAACTTGTTCATATGTCATGGTTAAGATGTGGGATAGTGGTTACAACAGTGCCCTTCTACTCATTTCTCCAGATTCACCCAATCACCCTAAACATTCCCATCCTTCTGAACTTGGCATACTGTACTGGTGCCTCCAGTGCTTGTTATTTGGTCTTCGGTGGGCAAGGGGATCATCTCACCCACTTGTCTTCTCATCAGGGATAGTAGCAGTTGCTGGTTCCCAATGTCAATGGGGTTGTAAATGCACTCCAAATTTTGTATTGTTTAAAGGCACTATCCAAGGTGATGAACCCATCTTGAGATGGATCTAGCAGTTTAGTTAAACCAGTGGTTCTCAATTTGTGGGTCCCCAGGTGTTTTGGCCTACAACTCCCAGAAATCCCAGCCAGTTTACCTGCTGTTAGGATTTCTGGGAATCATAGGCCAAAAGATTTGGAGACCCATAGGCTGAGAACCACTGGGTTAAACTCTTAAAGCTTGATTAAATCCTCCAATTAAGTAACTATCCTTCTCTGCCTGATCAGCACATTACAAATAGTTGGGGAAAGAACCTGGCAGAGATACAAACATTGTCCTGTTGGCCTTATGCCCATGGGTGCTGCTGCTAATGCTGCGTTATACCTTTTGTTTGTGTTTGCCATGTGATTTGCCATGCGATTTGCCTTGAGCCCCCATGCTAATCTGTTTGTTAACCTGCTGCTCTCATATGCTATGGAGTACACTCCAGATTAGCTTTCTGTTATCAGTATTCTACAAGACAACTCTGTAGAACTAGCTAGCCCAGAAGACAATTAGCTCAAAGCTTTTCAGTAAGCTTCATCCTGCAGGTGTGAAAGGATTGCCCACCTGTTGTTCCCCAAGAAGACCCTGTGAATAGTGTACCCAGGTGGGGACCAGCCATGGTACACTATCAGTCACCAAATGCCATGTAATATGTCAGCCCCAGCAGATTAAGTATTTTTATATTACCTTTTAGTGTTATTCAGCTCCTAAGAAAGTACAGTTTTAGTTAAGCATAAAGCCAGGGTCCACATTGAAAAGATGCTGAAAGTTTTATGATTGGCTCATTCCTGGTTTTCAAAGGGTAAACACAACTTGGGTTGTTGTCAGAGAAGCATGGGGTGCGTAGCCCAATACCTTGTGCTATAGCTCCACTCTAAATTATATGCTTCAACAGCTGAAGTTATCCTTTTTGGAAAGAGTGATATCTGATTAATATTTCTTCTACAATTATGTCAACTGCCTCCCAAGTTGTACCTTTGTTGGTGAAAAGCCGGGGAGATAGAGCAGAATATAAATAAAGTTGATGATGATGATTATTAAATGAGAGCTACCATCCTAGTTTACTGGGTCCTTTCAAAGATTCCTAGCACTTCTGTTGACTTATACCCTTTTTTTCTCCCCATCAAAAAGGCAAAAAGATATTTTACTGAAACTAGCATTTATTTTGCCCATACTACAAAAAACCTCTACAAAGATTCCACGGGACATCACAAAAGCTGCCTCACTGTGAAGGAATTCATTCACTGTTTGCCATTTCCATTGATGGGACGCTGTTTGCGGCCCTCAGATTCCAGGTAAGTCTTGAGATGTGGTCTAGCATTGAGCCTCTGCACATAGGCAGCCAGCAAAGGGAAGGAATCCAGACATTTCGGTGCCAGGACGAGATGCAACTGTAGTATGTCGAGGAGGTTGTAGTCTACAAAAGAGATCTGAAGAAAGAAGAAGAAGTTGTAAACATTAAAAAATATTACTGTCATCCCTTGCTCTACTAAATATAGCACAACACACAATAATAGAGAGACCAGGGTCATATCTATGTTGTTCAGTGTTTTCATCTGTAAACAGTCCCCTAATGTGTGCTTGCTTGTACATACACAATGTTCCATTTTAAAAAGTTTAAAGCAGCTCTGCTCAGTTTCAAGAAACACTACCATTAAATGTTGCATATATAACCCCCGGTGGTGCAACAGGTTAACCACTGAGCTACTGAAATCGCTCACCAAAACATCGGCGGTTCGAATCCGGGGAGCGGGGTGAGTTCCCGCTGTTAGCCCCAGCTTCTGCCAACCTAGCAGTTCAAAAAGGGGGTAATAAGCACAAACATCTGAAGTGGATGAACAAGCTGTCCATTTATTGATTGTGGTGCTTTGCACAGATATTTGCCTTTTCCAGTAACTAAGTAAATTATACAAATGAGAAATCACATACTAAAGGTGCATAATTTCCAAAAGTTATGGAATTCTGGTTGCTGGATGCAAAGGGTTAATTTTCATAATACATAGAGTGTAGAAAATAAAGTATATAGTATTAAATAAGTAGCCTTCCTGGATGGGATAGCACTTTTCCCTGAAGGAAGTGCATATTTCTGAACTCATCTCTTACTGGAAGCCCACAGGAACTCAATAGATTGGAAGAGCTTTGGCTAGTCTGTCACTTACTCCCATACCTCGAAAATCTGGCCAATTACATGTCGGTAATTGCCAAATAACTGTAGAGCTACGTGACTCCATCATAATGCAAAATTCAACAGCTAGATGGTTATTAGAATAACTCATGGAAACTATGTAATAATGGTTTTAAAAGAACTGCACTAACTGCAAATAAGCTGTTGGTCTACATTAAATATTCCAGTGATGAAATCTACGCCCCTCGATGTACAAAAGACTGACTATCCTGTTGGGTTGCAAAAGCAGGCCTCTCTAAACAATATTTGAATGGAGAAAGAGCAGGGTTGTACATTATCCCATCCAATTGCAGCTGTGTGTTCCTCCTTACACCAGGCAAGGGAAACAGCAGCTGCCTTTGGAATTCCTTACTGAACAACAGTTCTGCATAAGTATGCTTAGAAAGCAACTATATATAAGTTGTCAATCAAAATGGCAATTGTTTTAAAAGTGAAAAGTTGTGAAGGAAAAAAAATCCATCTCAGGATGCATTTTGGAAGAAGGCTTGAAGTGGTGACTAAAACATACCCAGATATTCTTGTTTACCTGACCTGGTTGTTTCATTTCGTATGTGCATAACCCTTAGTTCTGAATAAAAAGGTTGCCAGTGTTGTAGCTTGAACATTAGATAGATAGATAGATAGATAGATAGATAGATAGATAGATAGATAGATTCAAGCCAGTGTCGTAGCTTGAACATTAGACTAGGACACTGGTCTAGCCACAGAACCCTCCTAAATGACCCTAAGCAAACCATGCTCTCTCAGCCTCAAAATAAATCTTGCCATGATAAGACTCATAATAAATCAGAAAACTTGAAACCAAACAACAACAAAATGAAAAAGGTGTTGTTTACTTTTGTAGTGAAGGAGCCTACCCTTTCCATATTATTTCTGCCTCAAGTAACAAAGTTTCTGTTAAAGAGGGCTGCCCAGGAACATATCTACTTTGTTAAATGAGCTATAACTATATTTCAATGATTCCTCATTGTTCTAAATTGTTTAAAAATAAGCTATAATGGAATCAATGCCTTATGTGTCAAGTAAGCTAACTAATCCCGATACTGCCTCCATTAAAGGACTAACTTACCTTTTTGCCTACAATGAAGCCTTTCCCTCCATCATTCTGAGCCAGAAGGTTCTCAAAAGGGCGGAGCTGGGCTGGCAGGGCCTCAATGTACTCAGCTTTGCCTGCATCCTATCAGGAAGGAACAGTCAGCATAATGACAAGGCCTTTTGAATAAAGTTTCTTTCCTTCCAACCAAAGAATCCTATCACCTGATCACCTTCATGGAAATGCGGGAGAACGGTATGAGTGAGGAGGAATATAAAGACTACTCCCAAACATACACAATACAGGCCAGAAAGGCAGAAACATATCATCAAAAAAAATCTGTCACCCAGAACTAGAATCTCACCCTGTGCAGCACTAAAAAGACCAGTTCTTACTTTGCATTTGCAAGGGGATTTTTTAAAAATACGCATTTGCTTCATGTAAATCTTTTTTCCAAAACTTTTTTTAAAAGTCCCAAATTGCAAAAGAAAAGAAATAGAATGCGGAAAAATGCTTCTTATTTCAGGAAGCAGGGGAGAAAACGTTTGTAAATTATCATTCTTGTATGAGAGAATGAATTAAGTGAATGAATTAATATCTGTAGGTGAGTTGATGCAGTTTAGCTTGAAGCTCCTTCTACAATATTGCAAGAATAAAGATGGAACAGCTATCTTTTGGGTTTGATGTCTGCCAGAGCTGAGCCCTTGTTGAAGCATATAAAATTAGTTGGTGAGTGTGTTAACTGAAAAATGCAAAGCAGGAAGCTGATTGGTTGGACCATTCCCAGAAGCTAGCTGAGCCTGGGAGTTTGGCAACAGTTACATGTTTAAGTTTTCTGTGCAGGAGCTTACTAAAATAGTAGAGTATTTTCTGCTTCTGAGCTGCTGGAAGAAGATCCTTCACATGGAGACCACTTTAATCTCTCACACTGTGTGAGTTAATGCAACTGTTCACATGACTGTATATATGGTGATCTGTGTAACAAAGAATAAACACCTTATTCTTTACTGATCATCTGTGTGGCATATCTTTTCCCTTGCAAGACCATGTGTGGATTAGTAAAGAAGTGAACTATGTGTGATTTTCATTCTACCACAGTCCTGATCTTGGTCAAAGGACTCCTCTCAACAGAAGCAAGGAACTGAAATCTGTAGGCTTCTATACATTCTCCTTTCCTACAGAGGCATTCCCATTTTTCCTACTCAAGCAAATGAGACATGAGTCAGGCAATTGAGGAAGCTGAGTTTTGAGTCTCCTTTAGTGTTCACATTCCTTTCTACTGGAGCTCTTGTGTTGACAACATTTCAATATTGATAATTCAACTGAATTGTGCATCAGACTAACTGGGAAATTGTTTCTGGTATTTTCAGACATTGGTTTTCCCTGAAAATCAACACTACTTTCCTTGGTGTCACACCCCTCATGCTCTAACTCCTTTCTAGCTATTGTCACAGAGCCCAACAGACCATGAACAGCTTGTGATTCTCAGAATGGAAACAAAACCAAGCCCTTTCATCTCGCAACTCACATAGTTCTGATAGATGAGGCGGACATATTTCAAACGTAGGTCCTCCACTCCATCATTCACCATGTCCAGCAGCGTTGCGTCTCGTGCATCTTGACCATACAGCCCTGACAAATAAAAAAAAGGAATGGGAAAATTTGTGTCTTCATGTTCTCTCAAAATCTTCAGGCATTCAGAGATACACTTCTTCATTTCTCCCCAACCACAGAATTCTCACAGCTAACCGCTGAGATTTGAAAAACAATGTGGAAATAACTTTATAGTCTTTCCCAAGAGAGGAGTGTCTGCCTCCTGTACCTAATCAAGCCCACAGAGATCCTCGTATGTTACTGACCAATGCGTTGGCTGAAGCCACTCCCTTCCAAAAAGCTCCCATATCACACCAGTGTTTCTCCTTCTTATTTCAAAAGGGTGAGAAGTGAAAGGGGCTGGAACCCTACTATTCCCTCCAATCAATGACAGGCAGATAGCAGCAGACTTGAGTTTTGCCTGTCCTGCATCTTTCCCAAAGAAGGAATGCACAAGGGCAGGCAAAGTCCCTCCAGCTATGTAATTTGCTTCATGTGGGCTCATCCCAGCCAAGAAAAAAAATCACTCAAAGCAATTCAAACTCCTGAACATAGGTGCCAGCTGCAGGACTATACCTTCATTTGGCACTAGGGGTGAGTGTTTGTGTCTGCTCTTTCAGAAGGATATGGAGTAGGCAAAGACAACTCCTCAGGCTTAGTAACATCTGGGTGTGTGAACCCTAGATTTCATTTGGCCCACGGTGGTCCCAGTGAAGGGTCATTCAGTTTCCCATATTCTAGATAATAATCCCTGCATTACAGAATCCCCAGGTTTCTACCCTCCTTACTTTACTTAGGCGATCCCTCGTTGGACGAGTAAGATGGTCTTCCATCATGGGTGTCTAGATGGTCTACCCTCCAGACACACTTGAAAACAACAGTCTATTTGGCTGTAATATTTCATTTAATTATGTTTATATCCATTTATTCATTGTTCAATCTAATCTGCTTTTCCTTGGCTTGTATCTCTTGCTTTTGTTTTTGTCATTGATTATGATTGCAAGAACTACTAGTATTGTTATTGTCAGAGTTTTTTAACATTCCATCATTTCTAAAGTATCTGTGTTTGGGCTTGGCCTCATGTAAGCCACCCCGAGTCCCCATTGGGGAGATGGTGGTGGAGTAGAAATAAAGATTATTATTATTAATATTATTATTATTATTATTATTATTATTATTATTATTGTGACGATAAGTAATTATTGTTAGGAAAAATTACCCTAAAATATAGCAGATTATCCAAAAATCAAACAGGACACTTAAAGCTGAGCATTCAGCTCATTCGCAAGCAGAGAGTGAATTGCTATGAGATGTGGCTGTAAAGAATTAAGAGCTTAGGGAGGAAAAGATCACCAAAGGTTTATTTACAATAATAAAGAACTAGCTACAATTCCTTGAAGGAGCTGGGGGTGGTGATGGCCGACAGGGAGCTCTGGCGTGGGCTGGTCCATGCGGTCACGAAGAGTCGGAGACGACTGAACGAATGAACAACAACAACAACAACAAGCTACAATTATTCATGGTTAAGAACTGGGTTTGAGCAGCTCTAACGCTCATCTCTTTTTAGGTTTCAAAGAGAGGGGGGGAAACACCAATCACTACATCTCTCTTGACACACATGCACAGAGAGATCTCAAAGCACACAGCACATACTCAGATGTAAGAAACAGAAGTCAGATTTTAAAAGGCTTGCAGTAGAAAAGTATCCATTCTACACAACCAATCAGAATGAGATCAGAAACAGAAGAAACTGATTAATTCCCAACTGTCATACAGGAGACATGGGGGAAAGGAAAGCCTTACCAGCTGTTAGGAACTGTAGGATATAAAGTCCAAAGTACCTGGAGATCCAAAGCTTGGGAACCACTAGTCTATAATAGGCTAACTAAACCATTCCTCATTGAGAACTTGAGACTTGGGCAGTGTGGGTTGAATTCCAACAATTATAAGAACCACCCCAGTAGCAAGCATCAAGGATTTAATCACCTGGCTAGTATTGAGTAATTTACAGCTATGGTGGGGTAGCTGAAAAAGTAATAAAAAACCACAATCTTCTCTGTTAGAGTTCTTATTGTCAGAGTGTTGAGCTGTTGGAGATGGAGATTCTAAGTCTGAAGGATTAATGAAGCAAACTAGAGAGAAGCTAATACTATGGAGAAGGCATGAACTGACTGGGAGTGTTGAGAAGAAGGGCTAGAGAAGAGTCAAGAACATCTGCTAGATATATCTAAATACTGTTGTATAATGTTTTCTACTAAAGATTAAAGTTGTGCTTGTCTGCTCCTTAACCAGAGGGGGAGTGCTTCTGCTGAAGAAGGGAGTTGCCTTGTTGCTGAACAAAGAATCCCAACAATTTGCTGCAATGGTTATTGCTCTGAACTTGGAAAACAAGATTTTTAAACTTAAACTTAAATTTTTAATGATCGCACCCCCACCTCCCCCAAACCAGCTTGTCCAAAAACTGAACCTGAGCAACACATCCAAGAGACAAAGTTTTGTGTACACAGCCAAAGCATATGTACAGGCAGTCCCCAAGTTACAAACAAGATAGGTTCAATAGGTTTGCTCTTAAGTTGAATTTGTCTGTAAGTCAGAACAGGTACATTTCCTAAGTGTACCACCAGCCCCCCCCCCCCCCCCACACACACACACACACACGGGCAGCATATGGATGGGCTAACATTCCTGTGGTGTTTGTTTCGATCTCTGTGCCCCTATTCAGAAGATTTCACATCCCTTTCTGTCCCTGTGACAATGGGATTTTGAAAAATGTGGCTTGTTGTGGAAGCTTTGTGTCCCCTTTGGGGTGAGAAAGGCAGGGTATAAATAAAGTAAGTAAATAAATACACAAATAAACAAGGATTGATGAGAAAGCTTCCGTGGAGACACCTTTTCCCCATGATAACTCTTCCAGGGAAGATTTCTCTCAGTTCCTGTTGTCTCTTATGTATAAGTCTTTTGTAAATTGGATGTTTGTAACTCAAGGATTGCCTGTATACATTTCCCCTCCTTTGCTGATACAACTTCCAATTTGTACCACCCATGCAACAGTTTCACCATTATTTCCCCTGAATCTTTCCATACCATGATTCCTCGCCAAGTGACGCAGGATAGCATTTGACTGGACCAGTACAAAATCTCCATCTTGAAATTTAGGCACTTGGCCAAAGACCTGGTGGAGGAGGAGAAAGAGCAAGTGATGTGGGCAAGAGTTAGCAGGAGTTAGCGACTGAACATTTCAGTACTTATTCCCATCAGGGGATAAAGCTGCAACTTTTAGCATGCAAGAAGGGAGGGATTGAAGGGATAGTTTGGAAAGCTACATAAAATCCCTATTTCAGAAGGATCCCCAGCTCTCTAAACTTGTGGCCCTCCAGGTGTTTGGGACTACAAATCCCAGAAGCCTTAGCCAGGTTGTCAAATGGTCAGGAATTCTGGGAGCTGAAGACCAAAACACTTGGGAAGTAGTGGGTTGCTGTGAGTTTTCCAGGCTGTGTGGCCATGTTCCAGAAGCATTCTATCCTGGCATTTCTCTCTTCTGGAATGCTTCTGGAACATACAGCCCAGAAAACTCACAGCAACCCAGTGATTCCAGCCATGAAAGCCTTCAACAACACTTGGGAGGTCCACAGAATGTGCAGGCCCAATCTAAACTCCCCAAATAGCACAACTCACACAAGATTTCTTGAGGTCTCCCTTCTGCCATATCTCCCCAGTCACTACATCTTCTGTCCACTCCTGGCCTTGATCAGCCAGCAGCATCCGGGTGGCTTCACCACGTCCTGGTGAGGAAGAAACCCCAAAACATCATGAAGAAATGCAAAATATGTAGCAAGACAATGCATCCAACATAAGGTGCCATCTACACTGCCATAGAATATCCAGATTATCTTCTTTGGATTATATGGCAGTGTAGAGCCAACCCAAGATACTTTCCCACATCTGTAGGCAGGAAAAAACAGAATGGTCTGCAGAAAAAGGCAAAAGAAAAACCCCAAAAGATTGTGCATGCATGCAATCACCACAAAGCACCTGACCCGATTTGCGGTGGTCATATGCATGGATCTAAAAGCAAGAAAAGGAAAAGAAACGCAATTAAAATCGGGTGAAGTTGGAAGGGCACAACAAAAAACCTTGGCTTAATTTTCAGTCTATGAAGTTCAAGGGTTTATTTGTAGTTCCAAGGTGTGCCAAAGTAAGCCAACTGATTGTACCTCTGGCACAGAAGGAAGTAGAAAAACTTTGGCACATACTTTTGGGGAAATGATGACCTTTGAGATCGTAACCTTTTTGGAAAACCAGAATCTCCATAGCCTTTTGGAAACTTGACCTTTTGGAGATTAATTGGCATTCACTACCCTTTGGAAAATCATAACCTTTTTGTAAAGGATGATGTTCCTGAGAAGAGCTAAAAACTCATTTGAGTGAATCTCTTCTTTAGTGGTATATGTCCACGATATTATTCATGCAAGGCAAATTAGATTTCTCAGTTGTTAGACTGATAGACCTGGTTATCTCTTTAAACTATCAGGAACAATGATATGCCAATACACAAAATAAATAGCAGATCTTTGGAAGTGTTATTTCAGTTGCCCAAAAAATTATCTACTCTCTCATTAAATATATTTGGTTTTAAACCATGCTCTCAAGAGACAAAAATAAGCAGTCTTTGTTAAAGTAACATAGCTGGTTTACTTACAAACTTCAGCATACAGGTACATTGCTTATCAGTTGATAACCCGTAATGCCCCTTAATATAGTTCCTCATGTTGTTGTGACCTCCAAACATAAAATTATTTTTGTTGCTAAATCATAACTGTTTGCTACTGTTATGAATCATAATGTAAATATCTGATATGCAGGATGTATTTTCATTCACTGGACCAAATTTGGCACAGATTATTTAAACTGTTATATTTATTCATATCATGATCTGATCACTATGGTCAATATATCCCATATGCATGGGGGTATTGGGATAATGATACAAAAGGTTTGCTAGGGTAGATCCTCAGCCCCCCCCCCCCCCGAATCAAACTCAGCCCCCCCCCCCCAATCAAAATCCTGGCTATGGGCCTGAACGAGATATAAATACCAGAAATAAATAAATATATAAAAATACTGAAGGTGCACAACACAACACTTCTAAAATGGCATCTCAGTCTGAATAGTCCCAGATCTGGACTCATGGTCTGCAATCCCTCCCACAACCTCAAACAACATAGAGTTAAGGAAGCTACATATCAAACCACATATATATGCAGTACAGTAAGCAAACACAATCATATGCAAACAAATAAGTAGTGAAGGCTTGGAGAAGGTTGCTTGGCCATGGTGGTCCACTCTCTCGTTACATCCGGGATAGACTACTGCAACACACTCTACATGGGGTTGCCTTTGAAGACTGCTCAGAAGCTTCAAATACTCCAACGAGAAGCAGCCAGGTTAATAATTGGGGTGGCATATAGGGAGCATACAACTCCCATATTACGCCAGCTCCATTGGCTACTGGGCACAATTCAAAGTCCTGACCTTGGCCTATAAAGCCCTAAACGGCCATGGCCCAATTTACCTGTCTGAACACATCTCCCCTTATGAACCATTGCGGAGATTAAGAGGCCCTGCTCTCTTCCCGTCAATGTCACAGGTGCGATTGGTGGGGACGAGAGAGAGAGAGAGGGCCTTCTCGGTGATTGCCCCCCGGCTATGGAACTCCCTTACTGGTGCGATCAGATCGGCCCCCTCCCTCCTGTCCTTCAGAAGGATGGTAAAAACTTGGCTGCAGGGCCAAGCTTTTGGGACAGGGCAGTAAAGCGGCAATAAGATAGATTACCAGGCCAATTAGATTTGATGCAGATGACCAAGATGGTTTAAAATGGTGTAGTTTAATATTGAGATACATGTTTTTAATGTTAATGTATGTGTGTGTGAATTCTTGTCCCGGCACTGAATGTTTACCGTACATATCCTGCGCATTTCCTCGATTCTAAGATGTACTTTCCTCCCATATAAACAAATGGGGTGAGTCTTAGAATTGCAGGATATGGGAAACGACTTGAAAGCACGCAGTAGCCATCTCCAAGAGCCTCCACTTCCTCCACAAACTACAACTACACCTCCCAGCATCCCCTGGGATGCAGCCATGGCCGTGCTAAAGTGGGGCAAGAGCGGTGTAACTGCGTAGCATGCAAGGCCCTTGCTTTCCTAGAGAGGTGTATGTGTGTGTGTGTGTCTTATGCACTCACCGCGGACGGGGAAGTAGGTGAGCGTGTATTTGCCAGGCACTGCAAGGAGAACGACAAAAACGAGCTCTGGTTAGCGAAGGAATGCAATCCGAAATCGCCCCCAGCACCCCCCCCCCCCCAAAACCCTTTCTCTCTTGAGCCAACCCGCTTCGTTTGAAGCCCCCCACCCCGTCCCTCCCCGCCCGGGAAGCGCCTTACTCGCTGCAAAAATCCGACTCCTCGGGACAAAGCTGCAGGAATCAAGACGGGCTCGCCTCTCTCTTGGCAGAGTGGCAGCGGCGCAATAAAAGTCCTCCGAGAGAAATGCTGACTCATGCTGGAGCAGCAGCTCTTGAGCCCGGGCTGCTCCTTAAAGGCGCAGGAGGGGAAACGTCTTGCTTCGAGGGCAGAGTCAACCTTTCCCCCATGGTCTGGCCTGGTCATTTCCCTACCAAAATGAAGTTCGGCAGGGACAAATGCAAGATACTCCACTTAGGCGGAAAAAAAATGAAATAGAAAAATACAGAATGGGGGACGATGCCTGGCTCGACAGCAGGACGTGGGAAAAATTTATTTGTTTACTAGGTGTACCCACCACCACGCGTTGCCGTGACCAACCTTCCCTCCCTCTTTCTCTCCCTTCTTTCTCTCCTTCCTTCCCTGTTTTCTTTCCTTCTCTCCTTCCTTCCCTTTTTTCTTTCCTCCTCTCTTTCCTTCCTTCCCTTTTTTCTTTACTCCTCTTTCCTTCCTTCCCTTTTTTTCTTTCCTTCTCTCTTTCCTTCCTTCCCTTTTTTCTTTCCTTCTCTCCTTCCTTTTTTTCTTTCCTTCTTTCCTTCCTTCCTTCCCTTTTTTCCTTCCTTCTCTCCTTCCTTCCTTCCGTCCTTCCTTCCTTCCCTTTTCTTTCCTTTCTCTCCTTTCTTCCCCCTTTTCTCTCCTTCCTTCCCTTTTTTCTTTCCTTCTCTCCTTTCTTCCTTCCCTTTTTCTCTCCTTCTCTCCTTCCTTCCCTTTTTTCTTTCCTTCTCTCCTTTCTTCCTTCCCTCTTTTCTTTCCTTCTTTCCTTCCTTCCCCTTTTTTCTAAATTTCCTACTTGACAGATGCAACTGTCGTTCAGGCTGCAAAGGTCGACAACAAGCTAGACAAATTGTTGGGAGCTTACTCCAACCCGGGCTGGCTTTGAACTCATGATCTTTTAGTCAGTAGTGATTTTAATGCAGCTGACTCCCAACCAGCTGCGCCACAACCCGGTTCAAATATCTTGGAGTCCTTGTGGACAACAAGTTAAACATGAGCCAACAATGGGATGCAGCAGCAAAAAAAAAAGCTAATGGGATTTTGGCCTCACAAATATAGGCATGGTCATTTTTATTTTATTTTTTTTGCCTTAGGGCCACATAATGGGACCAACTGAGAGGGCCGGGCCAGGAGGGAGGGCAGACGGGCATGTACTGGGTGGGACAGGCCCAGGAGGGACAGGGCTTGTGAGAGGGTGGGGCTGGGTTGTCCTCCTGGCATAAGGATGAGGCTGCTTGCCCCATCCTTATGCCGGGAGGAAAACGAGACATGCAACGACTGTCCCGATCCTCCTCTCCCAGTCTTTGGGCTGTCTTCTCAGCATTATGCCAGGAGGAGCGTGAGACAGGTGATGGCCGAGAGCACTCCAGAGTTCTCTCAGCTGCTAGGTGTCTTCCTCCCCCCCGTCCTTTCTGCATAAGGATGTGGCGGGCCACTATGTCCTTATGCCGAGAGGACAGGGAAAATGAGAAGAGCCTGAGATAAAGGGGGCCACATTTTGGAGTTGAAGTCCAAAACACCTGGAGGCCCAAGTTTGCCCAGACCTGCTGTAGACTAAGACTGTGTCTACAGTCGAATCACTGCAGTTTGACACCACTTTTAACAGCCAGGTCTTAATACTGTGGAAACCTAGGACTTGTACCAATCTCTTAAAAGGTGCAGCATTAGGAACACGGCCAGCAAAGTAACCAGGTGTTGCTTGCTCTGGGGTGTCACCCAGACATTGTCAGGCTTAATTGGTTAAAGGACAATCAGGCAATTTCACACCATAATCCATATCTTCTGCCCTGTCGCCTCCATCTGTAGGAAGTCTTCTGTCCCAAACCCACCATAAACAAGGCTAGTGCTGATATCAGTGGGGCAGGGAAGGGTCCGGCAAGCCACCAGTTTATCAAAGCAATCTGTGTCTAGCAGGGCAGGTTTCTGCTCACAGTTTTGCAAGTTTTTTTTGCTTTCTATGCCAAAGAGTGCTGGTGCCCCTCCAAACTACAAATCCCATGGTTCCATAGCATTTAGTCATGGCAGTTAAAGTGGTGCCAAATTGCATTAATTCTGTGGTATAGATGCATCCTTAGAGGGGCATTTCCCTGACACACCAAGGCAAGAGAAATGTGTGCTTCTCTTTGCAAGAGTTCGGCCCTATTATAATTATTAGCTAGGAGCCCCCCCCCCCCCAGGTGGCGCAATGGGTTAAACCCTTGTGCTGGCAGGACTGCTGACTGAAAGGTTGAAGATTGGAATCAGGGAGCGGGGTGAGCTCCCATCTGTCAGCCCCAGCTTCCTATGCAGGGACATGAGAAAAGTCTCCCAAAAGAATGGTAAAACGTCAAAAACATCCAGGCATCCCCTGGGCAATGTCCTTGCAGATGGACAATTCTCTAACACCAGAAGCAATTTGCAGTTTCTCAAGTTGCTCCTGACATGAAAAAAAATTGTGCGCTGTCATTGGTTGCCATATCTTCTTCTTGGACATTACTTTAAAAATGTTTACAGCTGCTTGTTTTGGCATTGTTTTGAGCACTTTTCGTCCCTTTGCTTTGCAGATGTTTTCTCCATTAGAAGACAAAAATAAATTTGTTGTTGAAGGCTTTCATGGCCAGAATCACTGGGTTGCTGTGAGTTTTCTGGGCATGTTCCAGAAGTATTCTCTCCTAGCGTTTCGCCCACATCTATGGCAGGCATGCTCAGAAAACTCACAACCTCCAAGGATGCCTGCCATAGAGGTGGGCAAAACATCAGGAGAGAATGCTTCTGGAATATGGCCATAAAGCCCAGAAAACTCACAGCAACCCAAAGATAAATTCCTTTATCGAATGAACTCTTTCCTCTCTTTCTTGTAACAAAGGAAGATGACAAAACCATTCACCTGGAAATAAATAAGACACTTAAATCTACTGTATTGTGTAGTGAAAACCTATTGGATTAGGAGTCAGGTACTCAGAGTCCTTTATGGAGAAATTAGTCTCCTTTTTTCACTATAGAAATACGTTATCAGTTAGATGTGATCCTCCCAGAAAACATGGGAGAGATTGGATTACTATCAAAAAATGTAGGGAGTCAACTTCTTGAAAACCTACACTTGAAAATCATTCACCTGCAAGCAGATAATGCGATTTGTGCTGGACATTTAATTTTCTCTGCTTACGTCAATAGAAAAGAGTTCTATTTGTTTGTACTTAAATCCTTTTATTATGTTTATGGTTCCTCTGTTTTTTTGGTTTTGCTCTGTAATATTTGGAGGGAAAACAGCTGGCTGGGGAGATCCCTGGGCAAATTACCCGCCACTAGTTCACTTGTTTATGTAGATTTATTCAGAGATTATTTTTACATTCAGTCATAAAATGTTATTACAAAGTAACGTGTCATGTACACTTGCTTCTGTGTCTGCAATGCTAGAGTTAACCTGACTCATTTGTTGAATTGGGACATACCCAAATCTTCCAAGTGTTTAGATTTAACACGGTCAGCCCTGGTTAATACTCTAATCATTCCACTTTTTTGACTTCTTTCAACATGTGCCAGTTTCTCGCTCTACTGGGAACTGTATTTTTTTATCTCCTCAGTTTACTTCCATTGCTGAATTATGAGTCCAAAGTGCAAAAGTAGTTTGCATTCAGTTTAGTCAGCAGGAGCTAAAGGAAAAACGGGGGTCTTTCTATTTCTGTTAACGTAATAGATAAACATGGAACTGTGAAAGTATGAAACATGGAACACCCTAGACAATGCTACTGGAAAATGAAATTAACAGGAAGACATTGGCTACCAGCTGTTAGGAATTGTGGGAGTTGAAGTCCAAAACACCTGGAGGGCCAAAGTTTGCCCATGTCTGGGCTAGGGCATAGATCCACCTTAAATCCGGTTTCTGCCTCCTGCAGAATTCTGGGGCTTGTAGTTTAGAAGAAGGCCTTTAAACCGCTCAACCAGAGAAGTCCTGGGTCTCACTAAGCTACAAAACCCAGAACTCTGCAGGAGACAGCAACCAGATTTAAAGTGGATCCATGCTCTCGTGTGATGAGGCTATAGCCTGCATTAATGGAAGCATAGTTTCCAAGTCGAGGCAAGTAATATTCCAACCACAATCAGGCCTATATTGACTATGTTAGGAAAAACTTTCTGACAGCAAAAGCTATTCAGCAGTGGAATATGCTTTCTTGGAGTCCGGTGGAATCTCCTCTGGGGGTTTTAAGCAGAGGCTGAATGGCCATCTGCTTGGGGTGTTTTGATTGTGTTTTCCTGCATGGCAGAATGAAGTTGGACTGAATGGCCATTGGGGTCTCTTTCAGTTCTAGGTTTCAATAATCAAGCTGTTGGGATTCAGTCCCACTTCCCAAGTCTGAAGTCCTCAACGAGGAGAAGTTAGTTAGCATTAGAATAGACCGAGGACTCCCTTCTTCCATGTCTCCTGTACGATTGATTTTGCCATACTTCTCTATCCTGACAGTAAGAATGCAATGATTTGTTCTCTTCTCTCTGTTTCTGCTCTCATTTTACTTTGGTTATGTAGAATGGATATTTTTCTACTGCAAGCCTTTTTGAGTCTGACTTCTGTTTCTTACATCTTAATATATGCAGTGTGCTTTGAGCTCTCCCTCTGCTTGTGTGTTAGAGAGATGTAGTGTTTGGTGTTTTTCTCTTTGAAACCTTAGATGAGATGGGTGTTAGAGTGGCTCAGATCCAATTCTTTACCATGAAGAAATGTAGTTAGTTCTTATTGTAAATAAACCTTTTGTGATTTTTAAAATTGGACTCTGCATCTTTGTCTGCCTAAGCTCTAAATTCTTTACAGCCACATCACACAGAACTACACGCTTTGCTTGCTGTGAGCTGATGCTCAAACTTTTAGTATCCTGTTTGTTTTTGGGTGCTCTGCTATATTTTAGGGTAGTCTTCCCTAAAACAAGCTTCATCTGGAACATTGTCTCCAGCTCTGGATGCCTTCTTTTAAGAAGGATGTAGGCAAGGTGGTGTAAGTTCAGAGAAGGGCAATACAGATAAGGTGTATGGAGAATAAAACAGATGTGGAAAATATTGAAAGTTTTCTGCTCTGGTAGCATCTGAGGTGGCACGATGGCACTTTTCAAATATCTCAAGAGCTGTCACAGAGAGGAGCGGATAGACCAGGTCTAATGGTTTGAAGCTCCAGAAGGTAGATTTTGATGAAACACTAGAAGGAACTTCTGGACAGTAAGAGTGGTTTGACCATATCATTGCAGTTAATGTACATAAAGTGGTTGTGGGACAGAAAAGAAAGAAGGGAGGGAGAAAAAAGTTGACTCCTGATCTTCCTTATGGCAGTTATAGATACATAAAGTAATTCACAGCTTCTCTACACATTTTCAAATCCTTACCCTTGTGTCTGATCTGTATTTCTTTTTTATCCAATTCCTTTTACTCTAGGGAGATATTACCAGCCAGCCAAATCATACATCATTTATTTTTCTTTTTAGTTAATTCACCCAATGTAATTAAAAGACATTGTCTAGCCTCTTTCAGGACAACAGTGCCCCCTTCCCAGTCAGCATGGTAATGCATCCACCACACATAGACTCAAGATTATATGACAGTTACTGAATTGGAGTTTTGTTGTGCAAAGGATTCAAATGTGGTTGTCAGAAACTGTGTAGTGTATCTTATAGGGAAAGAAAATGGTTTAGTTCCCTACTACCTGAATGTTCCCTACTACCTGAATGGTGATCCAGAGAGAGTTTTCTGCCCTGGTAGCATCTGAGAACTGCAAAAATACAAGAGTGCTCCCCTCAATGTAACAAGGAAGGAAAGAAGGAAGAGGTTGATTTTTCAGAACTATCTCTAGCCTTTGACAAGCCTTTGAAAATGTCTAGCCCAATGGTCTGCAATTATGATACAGCACAGCACTTTCATCCCATGCCATTGTTCTTTAGCTACAACTTGCACTATCCCTTTCTCTTCTTGTTGTTTACAGTTGACCATGTTTTTACAACAATCAACGCTATAGGTTATTGGGCATCATTTTGAGTCAAATTGTTGTTTTATATACTACTGGTTTATCTTGTATTGTATTGTGTGTTTATTTTATTGTATGTATTGTTTGAGGCACTTTGTGTCATGTGTAAGACACCACGAGTCCCTTTGGGGATATGGAGACAGGGTACAAAAATAAAGTTACTAAAGTTATTATTATTACTTCTGAAAAATCCTTTTAAACGGTGCAGAGGACCTCTGGAACTTACTTACAAGGAAAATATTTGCTCTTAGAAGCTTTCAGCACAATCATTTCACCAATTTCCTCCCTTGAATGGTCTAGGGCAGGGGTCCACAAACTTTTTAAAAAGAGGGCCAGTTCTCAAGTCCCTCAAACTGGTGGAGGGCCGGATTATAATTTGAAAAAAAAATGAATGAATTCCTATGCACTCTGCACATATTTATTTATTTATTTATTTGGCTTGTGTACCGCCACTCCCAATTTGGCTCGGAGAGGTTTACAGCAGTAGATTAAACAATACAACCAACTTTAAAATACAATAAAAACGAGAACCGACATAGTCCCAAGTTATTCACCCATCGAAAGCTTGTCGGAAAAGAAAGGTCTTATTATCTTATTTGTAGTGCAAAAAGTACTTTAAAACAATACAATAATTAAAATGAAGAACAATTCTCATAGTATTTCAATGGGAAGTGTGGGCCTGCTTTTGGCTGATGAGATAGATTGTTGTTGTGTGCTTTCAAGTCATTTCAGACTTAGGCTGACCCTGAGTGAGGGCCGGGTAAATTACCTTGGAGGGCCGCATTCGGCCCTCGGGCCATAGTTTGAGGACCCCTGGTGTAGGGAGTCTGGAGGAGATGAGGGTCTTCTGTGGCTACAGTTTTCCTACCTCATACTGGCAGGTCTGCACCAGATGATTCCTTCTGCTTGCTTCCTCTGATGTACGTTGAGAAACATTAAGATTCAACCCAGGAGTCTTTGTAGAGTCCAGTTACCATTGCCACTGGAAAGTAGCCAGCCTTGCACTGAATAAACCATGAGTTGCCTGCATGACAGCACCCAGATGCAGCACTGCCAGGAACCTCGTCTTAGCCATCCAGAGGGCCAGGGAAGTGCCAAGTACCACAGGTGGGGCCAAAAGCTTGTTTTACAGAATGCTGGGGTGCCTGCTTTGAAATAGGTAGGCTGTATAAGATGTGGCGGGAGGCTGGGAAGTGGATCGGTGAATGAAAGAAAGAAGAATGCATGTTAAGGGCATGGGACAAAAGAAAGTACGTTATCTGGTAACGACTAAGACATAAATGTGGGGAAAGAGAAAGAAAGGTCATTTGAGGCTGTTGGTAGAGGGATAGTGAGGAGCTGAGGGGCAGGTGCATTTTCTACTCTGCCTCATTTGCTTATCAGGCCCCTTCCTAGGATGGGTGACTAACACCGAGGAAGCAATGGAAACCCATACAGCTGCTCAATCTGTGTCCCTCTGCCTTGGATACCTCTTGGGTTTCCTGCTCCAGGGGGTCGTTTTACTTTGTTTGCATCGTTAGTGAAAAGCAGATCCCGGCCGCATCATGTGTCTGACCTGATAAGCTCAGATTCCCTCCCTGTTCTCCGACTTCAATCTCACTCCCTGCAATAATAATAAGACAACTTGATTAGGTTTGGATGGAGTGGGGGCAAGGGCTGGGGGAGAAGCAGATGCCCATTCCCTCCATCCCTCCCACTCCCAAGCTAGTCTCTAGACCTGGGGGACACCAGGGTTGATCCCTCCTAAGCCGATTTGCAAGGGAAGAATTCTGGGAGACTGAAATAGCAAAGAGGAAAGGTGCCTCAAAGAGTGAAGAAGAAATAAGGAAGAGAGCAAGTGGATGAAAAGGGATCCAATGAGAGAGGGAGGAGAGAGGAAAGTTTAAGCAGTTTAAACTCAGGGACACAGTTTCAGAGGGGGAAAGAAATTAGGTAGGAGCTGGAGGAGGCAATGCATGAAGGGAACAGGTAATGCAGGTGTACAGAAGGGCATTTGCATTCTCTCAGGATTAGTTATTTAGAATTATGGTTGCAGACTGTTCACACATGTGTGTATTATATATATAAATATATATCCGAGAGTGCATGAGTGAGTGTGGCAGTACAATATAGTTGTGGCAAACAAACTACACCAGGGCACAGTACCAGCAGGGAAGAAACCTAGGGGTGCACTAGAGCACCACAGGGAGGTATGGGACCCCGGGGAAAAGACATAGGTAGCATGGAGAAGGATTAAATCTTGTCCAAGTAAAGTTTGGGTTTGTCTTCTTGGAGAGGTAGCTTCAAAGGAGAGGCGCACTCTTTGCAAAGCTTTCAACATGTTCTTTTTTCTCCGGGAGACCCAACGATTGAGCAGTGAGGCACCACAGTCACGGGCATCACGGGGCTTCTCCGTTTTTCACCAGCGATCAAAAAGCAGACACTCTCACCGAAAAGGAAGTCAGTCCGGAGAAGAAGACAGACGGTTCATGGAGTGGCCCCGGTTCAAAAGCACTTTGGAGATGACCACATCTACCACCACCCTCTATGGGACCAACCTGAGGATGGAGGAAGAGGGAAACTTGGCCGGAGCCAGCAGTGCCAAGGGAGAGCCATTGCAAGGAGCAGCATCAGCCCCAGGAAGGGCTGGTTCAGTTCCTACAGATGAGGAGTGCCCAAGCATCTGGGAGATGAAGCCCATCCTCACCTCTGTCTTTGGGCAGGTAACCACTATAGGGAAGGGGAAAGGAGTAAAGGAACAATGTCAAAGAAGGGCGGAGGCTGGCAGGGAAGAAACCATGGCTGAAGGCTGTGGTGTCTACACCAAAAGTTCTATGGCGCCAAGGGGTGAAGAAAGCCATTCTCCTGTAGGTAGATGAGGACATTCTGCAGAATCCCTGGTAGCTTGTAAAATGGACAAGAGAAGCTTATAAATGGGTTACTGCCTTCTCTGCTCCTCACAGAGAAGGAAACACTCCAAAATATAGAACTAGTGTTCTGAGCCTAAGGACTGAGCATAATGAAAGAAATCTGAAAATGGGTCTTATATATAACATTCTTCCATCAGTTCTTCTGTTCAGTTGAAGAAAGTGCAGGAGTAATATATACACAAATTTTCCAGGTGTGTGTGTGGGTGGGGTGGCTCTGGCATTCTTGTCCATCCTCCCAGTTCCTTGAAAACCTTGAGAACAAAGCTCCTAACCTGGATGTCCAGGATGTTTTTCTTTATATGATATTTGTCATAAAGGTTATAGAGATAACCGGAGTAAATATTCTCCAAAGAGCTCAACTGAAAGAGGAAGTATATAGTATGGAAAATGTTTGCCATTGAACATTCAGTTGCCTTAACGGGGCCTTGTAAGCCATTCGGGTAAAAGGTGGTAGCCTTTAAAATAGCCAACATAGTGGCATGTGAAATAGTGTGTGACTTCCTTTGCTGTGTAGAAGTGGAAGATAGAAATCAAGAAGCAGTATTGAAAGCATCGGGAAACTGAGTAGAGAACTTGGAAATAACATTTTACAAATAGTGTAATTTTGTATTACTATTTTTTGGTACTAAAGGTGGAATGAAGCTACACTTCAGAACTAATGTTCCAAGTGAAAATGTCTCCTCCCCCCCCTTCCTTCTCTTTACCTTTGGTGTAATGCGTATCATTTCCTAGTTATTTTTCTTGTTTTATCATTAAAGAGATTTTAAGGAATTTTAGAGGCCATATGATTTGGATTTTCTACGTTTTTTGCTATTTTTTAAATCTTAAAGCGGGATTTTAGTTACATTTTATTACAAACAGGGAAAACTGCCTTCTTCGTGTTGTAATAAATACATTAAATACATAGGAAATTGTTAGAAAGTAACCCTTTTGGCTCTATCTAATTGCATTGAGTGCATACAATGAGGACTGTGTGCATTCTACTGAGATTACTAAATGTGCAAGGTGTCATTGACCAGTCAGGAGTAGCACACTAGTAGTTGCAAACCCAGATCTCTTCTCCTTCTTGGTGCTCACTGGAAGAATACACGATTCTTTCCTTCTGAGGTAGTCTGGATCTACAGGTATGGTTTTTTCTTGCTGCTGCTGCTGCTATTGTTGAGCAATGGGAAACATTGAAAGTCTTCTTGGACTATTAAACATTCAGAATTCCAGCAACCATTTACTTCTAAGGAGACTGGTGGAAGAGTGTGTTCAGAGAGGTACAGATGCTGCATTGTGTTCCTCTCCCTCAGAGTTTAAAGAAATGGATATCCATTTCTCCAAATAATATGATCACTGATGAACCTATCTAAATTCACACTTCAGCTGGGCCTTCAAATTCAGATACAGGAAACAAGTTGTTCTGATGCTCAAACAATAAAAATGCTAAATAAAAAAAGTATTTGGATGAAAATATTATTTGGGATTTTGCATTGGATCAGAAAGTCTTGCCAATTCTGTTCAGGATTAAAGTTAAAACATTCTGAAAAAAACTGGCAAATATGGATAAACATAGAGAAATTGCTAACAAAGAGATTATTTTCTTTCTAGGAAGAACTTCTATTTCGGGTAGAGCAGAGCAGTTGTATAAGATGAATTATATTGCTGTCATTAAAGGATATATACAGAACAGATTCCTTCACAGCCTCATCTTAGTTACACTATGTAACAAAATTTCTGTTCCTGGTTAGAAAGTGTTATTTCCTGTTTAATTGTGTGGTACTTTTACACTTTTACACTTTATTTTTGTGGTAGCCATAAACTATGTTGAATTGGTTGAGAGTCTATGAGGTATTCGTTGAAAAACTATAGCAAAATATGCTGCGGGATGTCCCGCAAAAACAAACTTTTTGTGGTTTAATAAACTTTTTCCATGTTTTATGATAGAACCGCTTAGGAAATGGCATTTACAATCCAGGAACAAAAATTGTGTTACATGGTGTTATCCTAATTTCCATAAAATATTTGATTTCCTAACAAATATTTGGCTGCTGAGTTCAAGAAGCAGGATACAGAACACCTTCCTAATAAGAGCATCCGTTCCTTTGTGATTATTTTAGGCAGACTTTAAGGATGAAGCTGTTATTTTAGGAAGAGCATTCTGGTATCTCCTAACCTAATAGCCTTTCTGGGATGTTTATTCCCAATGGCATGTAAAATTATATTCTACTAGGAATGCCTGCTGGACCTTTTTTTGGCGGGGGGGGCATTATTTGGGGGGGGTGTTATTGGGGGGCGAGGCATGTTATTTATTTACCACTGAAGATTTTAAATGTTATTACAGCAAAACAAAGGTTTCCATCAAGCATAATGGTATCCACTTGTTCTACATGGTTACCACCTAATTTTGCTGTTAGAGGGAGCAATATTTCATAGTCAATTTAAGTGTATAGGGCATGAAATTGGTATTTAATATCTTTGGATCATCAACATGCAAGGTGTTTGGTATGTGGTGTCATTTGAATGTTGAGATATGTAGTGATAGTTAAAATTTGACAGCTGTTTATGTTGGATACCCTTCCACAAATAACCTTGAAAGGAAAGCAGGATGCAAAGTGGAACTTTCTGAGGAATGGTGAAAGGGAAACAGTGCACGTGGCAGCCAAGCAGGGTGGAGTTAACTGTATTGTCGAAGGCTTTCATGGCCAGAATCCCTGGGTTGTTGTAGGTTTTTCGGGCTGTATGGCCATGTTCTAGAAACATTCTCTCCTGATGTTTTGCCTGAATCTATGATAGGCTCCTCAAAGGTTGTGACCTCAGGCAAAACATCAGGAGAGAATGCTTCTAGAACATGGCCATACAGCCTGAAAAACCTACAACAACCCAGGGTGGAGTTACTTCTACTAATCTGGGATTTGTTGTTGTTCTCTGTCTTCAAGTTAATTCTGACTTATGGCGAGCCTGCAATTGGGTTTTCCTGGCTAGATTTATTCAGAGGAGGTTGATTATTACTTTCTTCTGTGGCCCAGAGAGTGTGGCTTGCACAAGATCCCTCATAGCAGTGGTTCTCAACCTGTGTCCCCCCAGATGTTTTGGCCTTCAACTCCCAGAAATCCTGGTAAACTGGCTGGGATTTCTGGAAGTTGTAAGCCAAAACATCTGGGGATCCACAGGTTGAGAACCACTGCCTCACTGGCTACCTTACCTAAACAGTGAGTCAGATCCTGGTCTTGTAGTCCAACACTTAAACTACTATGATATGCAGATTCTCCCTATCAGATTAGTAGATGCCAACAACATTGTAATCCACAGAATTGTATAATGTCAGATGCCTAACATCTAAAGGAATGTGATGTATGATTTAAAAAAAATTGTACGTTTCGATTTAGACTTCTAAGAAATTCACATCACAAACTCTGTTCTGTTACACTACTGAGTGTACAAGCTAATGTTTTCTCAGAGCTCAACATGTCTGCTGGAGAAAAGAAAGATAGATATAATATTTTAAGCATGGTGAGGTTCAAAGGCACTGAAAGTATGTATGTCTGTCATATTTAAAATTGTATACTTTGCATGTTTAGTTGTGCAAGAGAGTGTTTGCTAAGAAGAGGAATTTCTAAGGCAATTCTGCACAAATATGTTGTTATATAAGAGGAAACGCCTAATTAGTAATCAGAAGTGGGTATAAGAAGGTAGATGAGGTTGGACAATTGCTTTTAAGAGCATTCAAGGTGATGTGATAGATGTATGATTTCCTGTAATGAACATACTTATTTATTCCTGCTATCACTTCAGTTGAAATGTAAATCTGCAAAAACTGTTTTACCAGATACAACAGAGGGTCAGAAGGAAGCATGAATGGCTCTAGGATGGTTTTGAGCAAACTCTAGAGCTTAAAAAAACCAAAAAACAAACAAACAAAACAAACGAACAGGCAGACATAGAAAAGGAGCAAGGTTCTTTCTCCCAGAACCAAATTGACAGATCCTTTCAAACCAGAATCCAACCTGGCTGTCCCCAAACATTTTTTCTAGCAGCCTAACTGAAGAGAAAAATATATATTTACTATAAGAAATCTTTGTGAATCTACTGCAGATTACTCAGATATCTGCCCCATATACCTTGACTTATCTTCTCACATTACTGTGTACTCTGAAAATGTTACCATTGGAGACCCTGGTGGTGCAGTGGGTTAAACCCTTGTGCCAGTAGGACTGAAGACCAACAGGTCGAAGGTTCGAATCCAGGGACAGTGCGGATGAGCTCCCTCTGTCAGCTCCAGCTCCACATGTGGGGACATGAGAGAAGCCTCCCACAAAGATGGTAAAACATCAAAACATCAGGGTGTCCCCTGGGCAACATCCTTGAAGACAGCCAATTCTCTCTCACCAGAAGTGACTTGCGGTTTCTCAAGTTGCTCCTGGCACGCACGCACACACACACACACACAAATGGTACCATTTGTCTCTAGCTTTTGAGTCTTAAACCACTTAATATTGCAAAAGCATCTGGGCTTCTTCCATGGTTCTACTAAAGAAACTTGCAGGCTCTTTTTCCCCTCCTCAGTTGCCAAGAAAAGTGTGGGCGGGTAAACAAAGCTTAATCAGATTGCCTGATCTGAATATAGTTATTTTTCAAAACAACCCTTTCAAATCCATAGACATTTTCACAAATGGACAAAAGTGGTTGCATTACCCATGTCTATACAAATAATAAAGATTCCATAGATGAGAATCTGCCTTGGATTTTAAAATGCTTTCCCCCCCCATCCCCCCAAAAATATTGTCCTACATTAACAGCCGTGACAAGGA